ACTATATTATGTACATACTATATTCTCTTATTATAATAATTTGATACAAAACTCGCTTAAAGTAAGGGAAGCTTATTCAAATCATAAGTCACTTGCTACTGATTTTTTCTCGGGTGAAACTTATTTTCAACATAATAATTACTTGTTGTAAAGGCAGTGGTAGGTAGCCCAGTGGTAACGCGATCGCATGGGAAACGTCACACGAAAATTACTTAAATTATTTCTATTACCTACAAAATATACAAATATAATTGAGCTGCATTTTAACTTATCATTTATTATACAAACTAGCATTGCCCGCGGCTCCGCCCGCGTCTGACCAAATTTTAGGTTTTACATATTAGTATACTCTTACATTGCAGTTTTTGTATTTTTTATCAGGGTCAACACATACATATATGGTGATAACCATACCAAATTTCATCAAAATCTCTTCAGTGATTTTTCTGTGATGCGGTAACAGACAGACAGACAAGATTCGGCCTCTGTATCGATAATAGTATCTATTTCAATAAGATTTTCCCAAAAATATTTAATGTACAGATTCGGCTTAGAATTTTATTATATGTACATATATGTAGTATACATGAATTAGATTGGATTTTTGCAGGCATCGATAATAATGAGCGTGGGTGTTCTTTGAATGTTGATTCACTAGTTACGTTCTCTCTATTTTTTGTTTAGCTACAACAAATAAGGTTTATGAAATTCAGTAATCATATTTCATATAACCACTTAAACATAATTATAAATCATAATTTTATTTTATACTTTGTTTACTAACAAGTTACCCTCGCTTCGTTCGCGTACCTTTTAATAACCCCCCTAGGTACGTTTTAATTTTTTGCGCGGAATCCTTGTTTTTTTTTAAATATAACTACTCCTTATAACATCAGCTATCTACCAGTGAAAGTCCTATCAAAATCGGTCCAGCCGTTTCGAATAACATTAAATTAAATATGTTTCTACTACAGTTATAACTTATGATAAGTAATTTTTTTAAAATAAAACGCGAGCATATTATTTTTTTGAGCCAAGCTAAATAGACAAAAAATAACGTTTTTTCAGGTTTTTTTAAACAAAAATATATGTAACATAGCTGTATGTACTATGTACCTATATAATTTTTTGTAATAAAAAGTAAATGTAAACAGCTTCATATATTTAACAAAATGAATGCAAGGTAATGGAAATGAAGGTAAATCATAAATATAATTAACTTCTGTAAATAATTGCCTATAAATTGTATACAGGTATTATGTCGCAACACTGAATTCAGAGAGCGTAGCATAGGAAACAGCCATGACCATTAAAATACATAAATGTTATTCCAATATAGACCTTATCACTTACCCAGACGATGTATGATAAGATTCACATCTCAATCAGTGCGTTAAGATAAATGACCTAGTTTTCACTACTTTTCACTACAGACTTATTTTACTCAAAATTTTAGTTCGTTCGTTGTTCACTTCTTAAACGGTAGGTACGATATGGTTACTATATGTATGTGCATTCGCTGGAGCCCACTGGATGCTGATGGCACAAGACCGGTTGTCATGGAAATTTTTGGGGGGAGGCCTATGTGTAGCAGTAGACGTGTTTGGGCTGAGACGACGATGTGTGATATACTACGAGTACAAAATGTTGAATTTACCTATGAAAACTACCAGACCCTATAGACCAGACCTCACTTGGTGGAAAAATTTAAAAAGTTTTGGTTCAACCTAATGAAACTAAAGTATCCAAGTGACTCCATCAGAACACAAAAATACTTATTATCAAAAAGTTCAAGCTGTTTAGGATAAGAAAAATCACGATCACGTGTGTGTGCTTACATACAGAAGTAAGGGAAATTTTATATTTTAATATATAAAATTCCCGTGTCACGATGTTGGTCCGCGATGAACTCCGAAACTAACCGTCCGATCTTATCGTATTCTTTTCAAAACGTGTGATTTGTTCCAATTTAAAAGATAGGATAGTTTTTATCCCGATTATTTCCTTTTTTTATTACAAAATTGGTCTGCTAGTATTATTTACATATAAAGACATCCCTATGAAATTACCGAGCAGATAATTATTTAAATATTCATGTTACTTTCTTTATTACATTCATTTCAATTAGATTTCGAACTGCGCGTTAGTTAATCAATCGATAGATAAAAGCTATCGGTTCCACGTTTTATTTATCCAGGCCATATCATTTCGTAATGTCTCTTAGCAATTTGGGCACGAAGTTAATTTGCACCAACCACATTATCACATATATGAATCTTCTTTCTATAATATAAAAATGAATCGCTGAATGTGTTGCTAAGCGCAAATCTCGAAAGCAGCTGAACCGATTTCGCTAATTCTTTTTTTAGAATATTCCTTGAAGTACGAGGATGGTTCTTACGGAGAGAAAAAATTAAAAATTTTAAAAATTGTCTAAAAATAACACTTCTATACTTCCATACAAAATATTCGTAATAATACTTAAAAGTCAATTTGAACTTTAATACCATACCATAAAGTTTAAGTGTTAGTGGAGAGGTTCCGGGAAGGCAAAACAATTGAGTGACGTTAGTATCGTATAAATATTAATGTCAATATTTGTCAATATTTGTCAATATTATTAACAAAAAATATATAACTTATATGGCTAATAACTATTCATATCTATTTAAAACGTACCTAGCGACGAACCCGAGTGAAGCGAGGGTGAGCCGCTAGTATAATTTTATACACATAGAATTTATTTCATCAGAAAATATTATAAATATGGATTTATTGTATGTAATTTCTATTGAAATTGAATGAAATTATTATTAAAGAAACTTATTATTATAGCAAGTGTACGCGGCGTACAGGTTTATTTTGTTTCTAATAACTTCTATCAAACAGTAATTACATAGTATGTACAATATATATTCGCTTTATTAATAATCTGTGTTTGATAGCTTAATTTTTTTTCGAACGGCAGCTGAAAGTTATTACCTCCCTCGTTGAAATTATGCGATATAAAACAATATGTTAACAAAAGGCTCTAATTAATATTTAAGTGTTTTTATTCATACTTTGTAAGGTTTTCTTACTAAAGTTTACCTGATTCGAAAATTATTCTCAGGCAGTAGATACTGATCTTATTATAGCGCTGAAGCTAAGAAGTTTAAAAAACAAACAGTCCTCGAGGAAAAATAAATTTTCCGTAACAAGATGCTTCTCGCTGTCTATAAATTACGAGCTTCCTAAGGGATAGCCGAAAATGTCAACGTGAGTTGAAATCTTGTCACCTGTAGGTATATTGTACACGAATAGATTAATTTTAATGTTGTTTCTTCCCAGGAAATAGGTCACGTGATCTTTTAAGAGATGGAAAATTTTACGTTCAGACCGATTTCTATGATAATCGTTTTTTTTTTATAAATTCTTACTTTATAAATATATCTATCTATATAAGAGTAATATACGTATCAATAAATAAGTACCTACTGTTATACAAATAATGAATTTACCAATGCAAGTATTATTTAATAACGTTTAAGTTTTTGTACTTAGGTGTGTGATGTCGATTATAAGCACACATCAAAATAGTTCAATTCTATGCCTATTAATGTTATTGGATTTAACATAAAAAATGTACTAATATAATAACTTCTATGCACCATTTCCGCTCTTTTCTTTTATTTTCTGTATCCTTCTCAATCGGTTGCCTGTAAAGCCTAGTTCGCATTAAGCTAGTATTTTAGTCTAGTAGCGAGTAATTTAGTAGCTAAATTACTCGCTACTTACCAAAAATCGTTCGCACTTTGGTCGAGTACAGTTTACAAGTGAATGGTGTTTTGCAAGATGAACAGCCTACAACGCAATAAAGTAAATAAACTGATTAAGCTGATCGTAACGGCTATTTTAGAAGAGGTGGATGAGGAAATTTGTGTGATTAATAAAAAGAAGCTATGGGTACGAAAATGGATCGAAAGACGAGATAAACTAGGAGCTACTAATTGTCTTCTGAAGGAACAAGCATTCGTGTTCAACATATTTCGAAACAAATTTAAAAGTCATTTCTTCGCTCCAGCGAAACGACATTATGGCGGCAACTAATGAACTCGACTAATTCGAGAGGTTCGTACTTGTTTAGCCGGTGAACCAGTGACTTCGGACGCGTGGTGGGGGTTGCTACTCGCCCAAAAAAATAGAATAAAATGGATTGACTCGACTAAATTACTTACTAAACTAATCGACTAAATTTTTAGTGTTCAGACACGTTTAGTTACTAAATTACTCGCTACTAGACTAAAATACTAGCTTAATGCGAACTAGACTTAAGAGATCGCTTTTAGTGATAAGGCCGCCTTTGCACGTTTCTTTAATTGTATTTCTTTTTGTGTACTTATGTATCATTTTACTCGGCAATAAAGTGTTTAAAATAAATATAAAAACAAAAAACAAAATGTATTAGAAATCCTTACCTCCTTCGGTAAATCCATTCTCAATTTTACGAACACACTAAAACATACCAATTGAGTAGGTACCTCTTTCTTTTTGGAATCGATTAAAAAAATGAATTGTCTGAGGTAAAATTACCAAAATTCCACGAAAATTATACTGAAAATTGTATTATGACTACGCGTATAGTTTTTGAAATTTTAATTAATTTGGATTAATTCCACTAGTGACTCACCCTCGGGTTCGTCCCTAGATGGTTGTTTATATTGACGTAACTTTTTTATTTATAAACCGATAGAAATAAAACAAATACTAAATATTAAGTGAAGCTTACCACAATATATGAGTGAAAACCGCATCCAAATCGGTTAAGCCGTTTCTGAGATTAGCGCGCCCAAACACACAGAAAAACAGACAAAAATTCTAAAAACCATTGTTTTGGGTTCTATTGCGTAAATAAAGATCTCCAATGACAGTATTTCTCAAATATCTTCCATGTACAGACAGCGATCAGTTACACTTTTATTATATGTATAGATTATGAATAACATTTTTTTTACTTCCAGAGAAACAATAAATCAAACTCCAAGTAATAAGTATAAGACATCATGGCAGTTTTGGAAGAAGCGGCGACTAGTCGTGGCATTACTGGCTTTCTTCGGGTTTTTCAACGTGTACGCCTTAAGGGTGAATCTCTCTGTAGCAGTAGTCGCTATGACGGAACCTTTGGAAATGGAACTTGAAAATGGAACAGTTGTCTTTGTAAGTACACTTAGTTAAAAACACAACTTTAGTATATTATGTGGCACTCCTACAGGAGGTGACTATATTTTTAGGGGACACTAGGATATTTTTTGTCGATAAATCGTACCAAAATATATCGAAAATAAACAATAAATTTCTCGATATTTCGCTTCGCTTTTCTATAAATCGACATCGTCGATTAGGATTGGTACAACGTTTATAATGGAAATGGAATGGAAACAAATTCTCGGAATAAAAAGGTGCGATTTTTTATTATGAACCGAGAAGCGCACAATAGGTACTTACCTAACATATAATGTTAAATTCAAGCTTTTTATTGAACAGGTTTAGGTTTTTTCTTTTTTACTTATTCTTTCACATTACAATATAACAATACAATGTTGATTGTGATCTGAATAATACGATATTTCAAGAATAAAATGAAAAAGATATGCTATATTATTATCAAGAGATATTTTTTATATCAAGCAAAATTTTTCCATGATGTTATAAAATTTTACAACTTTAAGATTTGCTCGCGGACATTCATAAATACGTAAAGAATCACAAAATTATTCCATTCAAAAATAGACTTTATCTATATTATGTAATAAGATTACACACACGATCTACATATTTTGTAATGGACTAAAGAGGTTAGAAATAAGCGAGTTCAGTGGAAATTTGAAAAACTTCTAATAACTTTACTGTCATTGGTATAGAGCTCAAAATAAAACGGTTATCGATCGAATTTTCATAAGATTGTCGCGTAAGTAGCTATTCTAGGGTCTATAAATTGATCCGGCTTAATCTCACGCGGGTGATTCTTAAAAGGGTGCTCTTTATCTGTACGCTCAGTATGCTGCATATATTTAAGCTTATTAGCCATATAATGTCTTATCTTAGGGCCTACGCACACTACGTTTTATAATCGCGCGGATAACGCGCGTATCATGAACCTACGGCATCTGCGCATATTCTGCCCTTAAAAAATGTAGATTACTTGCATTCGTATGACGTATTGAAACCCGCTCACGTCGACTCGTCATCGCGTTCACTTCGCGTCGAATACACATGGATAGCGGTAAAACTTTTGATAAATAAAATTAAAACCGACTTCAAAAAAAAACAATAAAAATAACTGATTTGTAGTTTTCATTTACTATAGATAAGCACCTGATCAAATATTTTCTAAGTCGATGTGCTTTGATTTGTATCGGCTGGTATCGTTTTATGTTTTGTATGTCCACGACGTTCAGATGCAACGGCAGAAATGCTATGATAATATAACAACTCTTGTTTTTTCTTTAGTAGGTACTGTAAAACCATTAAAATTTTCACTTTACTTCTCCCTTTTTTTGAAGTCGGCTAAAAAGTGCATATTACAAACAAAAGACAATTTCGTAAAAATTTATTATATATAAAAATATTTTATCAGGTTCCAGAATTTGACTGGTCGTCGCAAACGAAGGGTCTAGTGTTGAGTTCCTTCTTCTACGGCTACATCATCACCCAGCTACCGGGCGGATGGCTAGCAGCTAAGATAGGAGGTAACAGGTTCGTTCCTTGTTATAGAACACACTACACATTGTAATTTTAATGTTAAAAATCTGCTGAAATGTATGCAAGATATTAATAAAAAATATCGTTCTAGCGTTTACATCTCATATGGATCCAAATTATTGTTTGTGTATTTATAGTTTTTTTTAATAGATATGAAAATCTTCAATATTTAATCATATAAATTTGTATTAATGTTATATTAATACAATTTAATTAAATAAATATTTAGCATTAAGCTATATTTATTTTATTTAAGTTTGAAGCTTTTAGTTTATTTACGTTTGAGTGGCATTAGAAAGAGTCATCCAACGCTCATTATTCTGAAAAGCAATAAAGTTGGTAATTGTCAAATTATAAAAAAGTTATAGGTAATAAGAAATGAGTCAAATTTTATGGGAATTAAAACCATATAAACGTTATGAAAATATAAGATAACGAACAGAACAGAAATAAATCTTCAAACTTTAAAGATGCTAGCCGCTAGGTAATAACGTATGTAATATGTACCTATATAGTATGATTTTATCTAATGTTTATTCGTTACTAGCTAAGCCCCGCGGTTTCACCCGCATTAAATTTGTTTGATTATAAATATCAGTTTTACAATAATGTATGGAAGTCTGCCCGATTTGTTGACGTTTATGATTAGGTACTGCTCCGCTACCTTGGGTAGTAGCATGATTATATATAGCCTATAGCCTTCCTCAATAAACGGGCTATCTAATGCAAAAAGATTTTTTTAACTCGGATTAGTAGTTCCTGAGATTAGCGCGTTCAAACAAACAAACTCTGTCTCTTTATCAACCGACTTCAAAAAGGAGGAGGTTCTCAATTCGACTGTATGTTTTTTTTTTTTTTTTTTTTTTTTTTTTTTTTTATGTTTGTTACCTCAGAACTCCGTCATTTATTAACCGATTTGGACAATTTTTGTGTCGTTTGAAAGGGTATACTTCCAGATTGGTCCCATTTAAATTTCAAAAAAAAATACCACCCCTAAGGGTGGAAAAACAACAAATGATGAATTTAACCTACTTCTAATTGTCATATTGACTTGAAACTTTGCAAGTATTTCTATTTCCGTTGATAGTACAGTGGTTCGGTGTTGTTGACCTGATCTGATGCCAAGGCCAGAAGGTGGATAGGTGGAACTCTTCAACGGCTAATAGTAGATACTTTGAGTTTGGGCTTATTTTGTTTGATTTGACAAGCCTAACACGTTAGAATCATTACTTTTCTACTACTGTCTACACTAAAAAGGGAAAAATAAAAACTTTTTAACAAAAAAATAAAAACCGACTTCAAACAAAAGCGCTAAAAAGTAAAAAATAACTGATTGGTAGTTTTCATTTACTATACATACCTAATCATTATTCTCGAAGTCGGTGTGCTTTGGCTAAGTAATTAAAGCCTACCTATTAAATACATACCTAATCAAATATTTTCGAAATCGGTGCCAGCCCATACAAAGCAAAGCACACCGACTTCGAAAATATTTGATTAGGTATGTATAGTAAATGAAAACTACCAATCAGTTATTTTTTACTTTTTAGCGCTTTTGTTTGAAGTCGGTTTTTATTTTTTTGTTAAAAAGTTTTTATAATATTAGTATAGATTTACTGAAACGTATACGAAACGACGTAAACGGAATAAACAATTTATATTTTTTAATATTATGTATTTCAAATTTTACTACAATTAAAACTTACCTTTAAGTTTAAGAGGTTAAGAATTAAGTCGAATCAAATATTGTAAAATGACAATGTCACATTTTTTGGAAGTGATTTTTTTTATGTATTAACTTATTTTAAACGATTAATATTTAAAAAGCGACATATTGTTTTATACGAGGTATCTATCTGTTTCTATCAGGATGTTCGCCATAGGAGTTGGAGCCACATCTCTTTTGACGCTTTTCACGCCTCCTTTAGCACATACCAGCACGGCTTTACTCATTACAGTGCGTGTCATTGAAGGTTTGTTTGAGGTATGTACCTACTGTATTAATTAATTTTTAGCTACCATTTCTTACTATAGACTACTAATCTATACAGGCGTCCTGATACTCCATACAATAGACGCGGTAATCCGCTCCCGAATGTTAAGGGTATTTTTATATGAAACTCGGGTGATTGTCAGAATGGAGTTAGCGTTGACGGGTTACGAGTATATCAGTAACATAGAATGTATGTTTGTTTAAATTATAGGTACCTTGTTAAGGAATTAATACTTTGCACTTTTTTTTTAATATATATATATATATATATATATATATATATATATATATATATTATAGATATATATTAATTGCAATAAAGTATCCATACAACCAATAAATAAAATGGAAGTATCTGATTGTAATGTCAAAATATCGGCTTTTCACTAAACGCATTCGAACTTTGTACGCATTTGAACATTGTAATCTGTATACAAAAGGTATAAGAAAAAACATTTTTTTTTGTATGTCTGTTTGTTCCGGCTAATCTCCGAAACGGCTGGAGCGATTTTGACGGGACTTTCACTGGCAGATATCTGATGTTATAAGAAGTATAGGCTATAATATATTAGAAGAAGTATTAGGGTTCAGCGCATTCCAAAAACACCATGAAATTGTGAACTAAATCCGCATACCGACACACTCGAGCGAAACGAGGTTAGGTCACCAATAAACAAAAAAAACAGTTTCAGTTTTAAAGAGTAATTTCAATCGGTTAATAAATAATTTGCAGGGTGTAACATACCCCTGTATCCACGCGGTCTGGTCTCGCTGGGCCCCCAGCGAGGAACGCGCGAGACTCGCAACATTCGCCTTCAGTGGCAGCTACGTCGGCACCGTGGTGTCTATGCCGATATGTTCCATGCTAGCACACTACACGGGATGGCCCGGCATATTCTATGTTTTTGGTGAGTCTTAGGTTTTAGGGAGTAAGTACGGGTCTAACTGTACCCTAAACGTTGACAACCGGTAGGGCCATAATAGGTTACCCTAGCAACATAAACAAAGACTAGTAGTATTTTTGGAAGTTTTTTATCGCACGATGTAGCTGGTATACTTAGCGAATGAGAGCTGGACGGAAAAAATGTAATATTTCGACCTTCACGACACTTTTCCTCATTTACTAAGATTCTCCCATGTAACGTCACCAGGCGATTATAAATGTTAAAGAATGTATGTAATAAGTAATTTACAAGTATGCACTCTTATGAGTGGTCCCTACATATATAATGGGCATTACTTGATGTTTGTGGTGCCCTACTAGTGACAATTATGTCACCACATTTTATGGAGCTAAGCGTCTGCCCTTAGTCTGTGAAAGAAACTTCTTTCCAATTGGGTGTCCCATGACAACTCTCGACTATTTATGTTTTTTTTTCTATATCTAATATATTTTAACGAGCAATTCTCGTGTTATATATATATATATATATATATATATATATATATATATATATATATATATATATATATATATATATAATCTGAATCTCGGAAACGGCTCCAACGATTTTCAAATTTAGTATACAGGAAGTTTCGGGGGCGATAAATCGATCTAGATTAGGATACAAAGATTTTATTTTTGTTTTTTTTTTTGTTTTTTTTATATTTATTCAAGTTTTTAGTTAAAAAAAAAAGAAAATTGTACTTCAGGCCAAAAACTCCGAGTGAAGCTCGGTAGCCCAGGTACAATATATTTATGTCAAACGATTAGAGCCTCCGCAAACTGCAGAATTTCCACCGACCAATAGTTTAATAGCCTAGTAATTAGTATGAAGATGTATCCAAACAAACTTTCTAATCGGTCGATACCGACTCGTTGTAACATGCGCTCTTGCATATATTTTCATACTAATTATAAATCTGACTAAACGATATATTACGATAGAGAGTCTACAGTGTGCGTTATTTAATGCTTCTAAATTCTTACAATATATTATTTTTTAATTAATAAAAAAATGTCAATGATATTGCCTATTTTTTATTATTATTATTATTTAATTATTTATATATTATGGCAGGTATAATGGGCTTAGTATGGACAACAATATGGTGGCTCGTAGTCAAAGAATCTCCAGAGAAGGACCCTCATATTACTGCTGCTGAATTAAAATATATACAGGTATTTAAGTTTAAATTAAAAGCATCTGACTAAAACATAAAAATTACGTTTTTTTACAGAAAATACACCTTTAAAGATAAACTTAAAAAGTAAAACTTTATTTCCTTATCGCGAGTTATTCAGTAGGTACACTTGGCGAATGAGAGCTAGGTGGAAACAAATAGAATATTAGACGTCACGTCACGATGTCTTCACAAGTACCAGGCGAGCATAAGTGTTAAGGATTAAATCAAAACAATGTTATCGAATCTCGAAAGGCAATTTTAAATTACTTATAATTGTCGCATCGAAATTAAGCTTTGTATGTTTATTTAGTCAGGATGACGATACTGTAACTAGTTATCTTGGAGCTGATGATGATGGATATCCAGCCTGATGATGATGGATAGCCAGGTGGATAGTGGAACTTTTCAGTGGTTACTAATAAACCACTTCAGTTTGGGATCGTTAGTTCGCTTAAACGAGTTTTTTGAATTGAAACTTCTTTAGAATCGTTGTGATTTGAATCTCGATGAAACAGAAATGCGACACTAAAAAGAGACGAACATATAAATATATAGGGTTAAGCCGGCGAAAGAATGAGATAGAATACATTACCATGTGCCATGGTAACCATTGTTATCGTCGCACAAATGATATTATATTTTTTCCGTATATGATATTCTATAAATATATGATTATAATATGCCTTATTTAATTATTGTTTTGTTTTAATTTAATTTCGATATTTGGCAAAGAAGTTTTACTTCAACCGCGCGTATACGCACCCATTTTTTTTACTTTTTATTTAATTAAACGTACGTGTATTTAAGGAATCCCGAGGCGCTATGGCGACGGATGGGTCTCAGATTAAACATCCGTGGAAGGCGATGTTGACTTCTGGCCCGGTGTGGGCGATAGTGATGGCGCATTTTAGTGAGAACTGGGGATTCTACACACTGCTCACGTTCCTACCTACTTTTATGCAAGGTAAGATCTTTAATCTTCAACAATTTGACTCTTAATCAGATTCATAATGGTAATATTGGTATTTTAAATAATTTTGAATAAAACTTATCTTTTCGGATCTTTTCTCGGATTTATTTTGATTTTTGGTTCCCGACGTTTCGAATGCTTTACAGCAATCATGGTCACGGGAGAGACTAAGCTTTTAGATGTCTCAAAGGCATTATATTAGTATTTATTACGACAGCCCAGACATTCTGTGAGAGTTTTCGGAATTTACAAAATATGGCTGTGTGTGGGTTTTGTGAGATCGAGTATGCGATATTTTTATTGTAAAAGGAGACGTATGAACTACGAAATCGGTGTGTTAAATTTCGTTGTCAACTTATATCTTGTGTTAATTGTACACAAATTTCGTAACTTCTCCATTCTACGTGACATTGGCGAAGTAATCTGTGCTCTACTTACACGCTTTGAAGCCATATAATAGAAAATTGAATAAATTCTACAAAAACTTCAATAACAAATCGATACATCTAACGCCACCTGTATTCAGCTCTTTTTAACGTTCCACTGCTGGGTACGGGCCTCCCTTCAGTACGAGGGGGATCAGGCCATAGTCCACCACGCTGGACAAGTGCGGGTTGGCGGACTTCACATGTCTTTTGAAAACTTGCTAGGTTCTCTCAGACATGCAGGTTTCCTCACGATGTTTTTCCTTCACCGTAAGGCAAGTGGTAATCATGTTAGAAATGATTCGCACATGAAAATATCAGAGGTGCGAGACCCGGGATTAGAACCCGCTTCACTCGGTTTCCCAAGCAAGCGCGGTACCACTATCCCCATCTATTGGCAGTTATTTGAACTAATTATTCTTTACAACACAACAGATGTATTCAAATTCAAAACATCGCAGACTGGATGGCTGTCGGCAGTCCCGTACTTGGCCATGGCGATAGTGCTCCAGGTGGCGGGCCACATGGCGGACTGGCTGCTGCGGATGGACGTAATGTCAAGGACAAATATACGGAAACTGTTCAACTGTGGCGCGTTTTTATCTCAGGTTTGCGTATATTGGATATCTGATTATAACAATGAGAGAGAGATTACATAAAACAATAAACACCTGTCAAGTTCGAGTCGGACTTGCACATGAAGGGTTCTGTACCATCGTACAAGATATAACACTATATACTAATCGATTTTCTTTTATTACCTTGACATTTTTTTTATATTTTAGCTTCTTAGTTTTTTATTATTTATTGCTATAGTGGCAATAGAAATACACACTCTGTGAAAATTTCAACTCCACTTATAACGGTTGATGAGATACATTATGTGTTGCTATAGAGGCAATCTTCGATCAACAATACTATAAGATAACGTGTCATATACAACAAAGCTAAATTCTGTCCGCGCGAATATTTACTTATACAGCTATATACATATTATAATTATATTATATACAATTAAATTCAATTCTCTTGATATATTAATTGCTATTTAACATTATTTCCCACATGCTTGTTTGTTTAGTGCAATAAATAATATATATAATTTCAGACAATCTTCATGATAGCGGCCGCATACGCCCCTTCTGTGTCAGGCTGTGTCATTTGTCTCACCATCGCGGTGGGGCTCGGGGGATTCGCTTGGTCTGGATTTAGGTGAATATATTTAATACTAGCGACTCTGGACTCGCCGTTGCTTCGCTCGCGTTCGTCTCTAGGTTGATTCCCCATACAAATTTTCCTCCCCATTTTTACCCCTTTAAAGGATGATTTCCGGAATAAAAAATTTCTTATGTCTCAAACTATCTTCTTACAAAATATCATCTAAATAGGTCCAGTAATTTATGGATTAATTCGTTACAAAAATACAAATCTTTCCTTTCTATAATATTAATGTAGATATTAGTGTAGACTAGCGACGTGCCCTCGCTTTGCTCAGTTGCATCCCTAGGTACGCTTTATACACGATTTCATGGTTTTTAATCTTTTGCGCGGAGCCCTCTTTTTTTCTAAAATAAGAGTAACCTAAGTTACTCCTCATAACATCAGCTATCTGCCAGTGAAAGACTCATCAAAATCAGTACAGCCGCTTAGGAGATTATCCGGAACAAACAGACAGACAATAATGTTCAAAATTGTGTTTTTCTTATACGTACCGTATATAGTAATTTCATATGCATTTAGTAAAACGCTGTTATTTTGACATTACGAACAGACACTTCAATTTTATTTATCTGTATAGATTAAAAATAAGGATATTTCAATATTGCAAAATGTAACTTACAATAATTTTCTTTAAATTCCAGTGTCAACCACCTGGACATAGCACCGCCACACGCCAGTGTGCTGATGGGATTGTCTAACACCATAGCAACTTTGCCTGGCATTATCAGCCCCCCTCTCGCAGGCTCGATAGTTACTAACAGAGTAAGTAATATGGAGTTAAATACTATTATAATAGAAAACAAAGTAAATGATAATATTGTGAGGAAACCTGCATGTCTGAGAGAACCTTTGCTAGGTTTTCGAAAGACATGTGAAGTCCACCAACACGCACTTAGCCAACGTGGTGGTCTATGGCCTGATCCTCCTTGTATTGAAGGGAGGCTGTACCCAGTAGTAGGACATTAAAAATGGCTGCATCAATCTCTTTTCGCAACTGGCCAAAGAAACTCGGGGATACAAAAAATGACATTTTATCTGTTTCTTTATATAAAATTATAAATTACAATCATACTTAAACATTGAATTTATTTAAGTGAAAACCTTACAAAACTTTCCCTAGAACTCGAACCCACATCCCTCCATGCCATCATAAATCATACCATAACCAAAAAGTTATTCCATTTTAATTCATTTCCAGACGGCAGAAGAATGGCGGATAGTATTCTTCATATCCAGTTTCATATATCTCCTGGGAGCGATCGTATATGGCGTATTTTGTTCTGCGGAGAAACAGCCGTGGGTGATGGAAGTCGATAGCGATGCCAGCTTTGATACAGATGGCGCTTCCGTTACTACTGCAAGGGGATACGATAATAAAGCTATGGATAGAAGCTCTGAAATGTAGATTAAAAATGATGTTTCAATATAATACTAGCGACTCATCCTCGCTTTGCTCGGGTTCGTCCCTAGGTTGCTTCCCCATACAAACTTTCATCCCCATTTTCAATCCTTTCAGTGATGTTTCTGGGGTGAAAACTATCCTATGTCTTTCCCAGGGTCTCAAACTATCTTCTTCATAAATTTCGTCTTATCAGTTCAGCAATTTTGGAGCCTATTCGGTACAAACACATAAAAAAATACTACATAGACACGAACAAAGAAGCTCCTTTTTGGAAGTCAAGTAAAAATTACATGGACTTAATCGAATTTCCTGTTAAATAAAAAAAATATATTCCAATAAGTTTATATTATAAACGACGAAGATATCGTATTGAGAACATTCTTTTTGAAGTCGGTAAAAATTATGTAATATTACACATCGATCAAAAAAGTATTAGACACACAATCCCATGCAAAAAATCTCTTAAAAATGTCACCAATTGTGTTTATGTATTTATTGTAGTTGAAATACATATATAACTATGTATGTATTTCAACTATTCTATCTGTGATGTAGCTACTTATGTTATAAAATACTGTTTACCAAATAAAAAAAAAACAATGTAAATTGAACCTTAAATGCAATGCTTAAAGTTGTTTACATAAAAAAAAATAAAAGCGCGCTCAAATTTTTCAAATGAGCGCTTATTCGGTGACGACATTTTTTTATCGCCGATTGTGTATCTAGTACTTTTTTGATCGATGATCGATTGATCCAGCTTTATATATCAAACTGGTTTTGTGATTTTGTGGGGAAACAGACGTGGGTGATGGAAGCCGATAGTGACGCATGCTTTGACACAGGTGGCGTCTCCGTCACTACTGTGAGAGGATACGATAATTAATACTATGGGTAGAAGCTCTGAAATGTAGATTAAATATTATTTTTCAATATATTAAATTAAACATTTAAAAAACCCCTCGACCATCTTGGACCGATTTTCATCAAACATAGCTAAGAACATTCCCGACTGATTTGCCTTTTAAAAAAAACAAAATCAAAATCGGTTCATCCGTTCGGGAGATACGATGCCACAGACAGATAACACAATACACACACAAACACGTCAAACTTATAACACCCCGTCATTTTCCGTCGGGGGTTAAAAAACTACATAGACTCAGAAGCAGAATTTCTTCTCTAGAAAAAAATATCATTTAAATCAATGTATTAATGACGAAAATGTGATTTTTTTATTGAAAACTTCATTTTTACAGTCGCTCAAAATTATATAACTTATATCTAGCTTTAATCCTTATATATTATAAATTGTTTTGTTCTGTTTCTTGGACATACAGCACTGATTGATATGTAATAGTTAAACGAATTTACCTCTGTCTTTATGTTACTTCGAGGTGAAAGAATAATAATGCTGCTAAAATCTGATTATACTTTGCATATTTTTAATTTATATTTGTTAACACAATAAATATATAATATTTTCTTAGATTTACGTGACTATTTGACGTTTTAAATAAAACTATCTTCTCGGATTTTTTCGCGAATTTATTTTGATTTTTGATTCCCCAAAATCAATTCAAAAATCAAAATAAATTAGCGAAAACATCCGTAAAATTAGTTTTATTAACAATAAATATATATATATATATATATATATATATATATATATATATATATATATTTCTTTTAATTTTAAAAAGTTTTTGTTATACTGCATTAGTACTAGAAGTAAACTCAAAGCTCTAACCCCTCTTATAATGAACTGAAATATAAAAAAATGTATATTTAATGAACTTGTGTCATTTTATTATCATTACAATTAAAAAATATATATTTTTTACAATTAAGAAAAATAGAAATACCTGTGTTAGAACCGAACCCACGAAATGCATTAACATATAATTATCACCACTCGGACAAAAGAGTCATGTGTTCTTAAAAATATAATATTTAATGTTTTGTATAATACATAATAAAATATATTACATTCGATTTATTTTAATACTGTATAATATATTTTTTTTTGTACTATCATAAAAGAAAGGGAACAGCGCCATCTAGTAGCTCAAAACATAAACTAGAGAAACTTGTTAATTTTAAGTGGACTATAATTATTTTTATATAGTAAAGTTTCATATTATCTAGCCCATTGATAATATAATTTTTGTATCATATCCATGTTAATATTCAAATTACCAGTTTTTAGAAAGATTGTTAAATTATTTACATACATTTTTTTTCTTTTCAAATACTTTCTAAGATATTCTGTTCTGTAAATATCATTGTATCCTATCATTAAAGTATTTAGGGAATAGTTTAAAAAAGTGTTATATTTTTTTTGTATATGTATGTATGCATATTCCTTTAATATAGTAGAAACTTTTATTAGAATTTATAACAATTAAAAACTAAAAGAAGCAATGCAAAGAATATTTCTGACCAAAATGAAATTAAAATTTACTTACAGCTTAACTAGTTCTTAAGTTCAAAAATTTTATTATGTAGCATTATAAATATCTAATTGAATTTTTAATTATTTAAATTTGATCTCAGTGTATGACAAAATTGGAATATGAATACTAATATTGTAATGATCAAAATTATTCATAGACTAAAATAAAATAATAGCAATTTATCTATTACAGTCAGTTTTATCCGATACTTGAAAAACTCTTATTTACATAATTTGTTAAGATTTTTACCATTTATACTTATTCAAAGTTAGGTGATTTTTGAAGTTATACTTCTTTTGGCACGTTTGGAAAAGATTGTGAGAGTAACATTTTTATGATGCGCGCGCACACCGACAGCCAAAAAGGGATATGATGAAGTTAGCTCCATTCCTTTTACAAACAGAGAGTTGTGTTATACAGGGATGAATCTTTGGCTATTTTTGTTCTGTTATGCTAAAAGAAGTATAACTTCTTACGTGCGTACATAAGTACACACGCACGTTTTATTTTATATATGTATATTATAAGTGCGCAAGTGTTTTATTGTCTGTGTCCGCGCACAAAACTAGCTGTAATTATAGTTTCCTATTATTAATCTACGTGTACTCGTTAGGTGTGTTTTATGTAGCAACTGTGATGAATAAATAATTGAAATCATTTGTTTTTTTTAACCATATCTTCGGCTTTTTTTATCCTTTCATTCTAATCTATTTTGCTTGAAAATTTAATAAATTAATAAAATACAAAAAAGAATTAAAAATCTTGTTAGTAATATAGACTAAAATCTGTACAATTTTGATATTCAAATATGATTATAATGATCCAGCTTCATAATTTATTTCATAGCTTGATTCCCCATAAAAACTTTCATCCCCATTTTCACTTCCTTAAGGGATGATTTCCGGGTAAAGTATCCTATGTCCTTCCCAGGGTCTCAAACTACCTCCTTAACAAATTTCATCTAAATCGGCTCAGTAGATCCAGAGATTGCCCCCTACAACGTCACAAACTCACAAACTTTACCTTATAATATTGTATAGATTACCTCTTTATAATATTAGTATAGAAAATATTTAATAACCTCGTAGTTTTGCAACAAATACGGCATAATAAAGCGCCATCTATGTGACGTAAAATAAAATAAAGCTTGCGCTGAAAATTATTTCAAATTTTAAATATTACGTTTATACATGTAGTAATATACCTATAAAGATATTAAAATACAAAAAATACATATTGTTTTTGTTGGTTTAATGTAAAGAATTTCAATTAAAATTAAATTTATACAACGAAATAGATACTATTATTTTTATGTATAGCTGTAAGTGCCGACATCTTTATCGAAAAAAATAATATTTCAAATGAAAAATTATTAGGACTAATTTAATAATTTACTTTAAAAATTAATAGGATAATATTTTTCATCAAGTAAAACTAAGGAAGGAATATTTCAACTAAAAATTTGTATCTTTCCAGTAAACTGATACTGCATATACATACGTGTTGGTTTCACACATTTTAATATTTATTTAATTGCTGTATTTTAATATGGTTTCCAGTTTATTATTCTATTTTATAGGAATAAATAAAAATTACTTTTTAAAAATAAGAACTCAAATGACTTTCCCCACAAAATCCTTTTAAAATCATGATTTAGATTCTTTCTCTTAAAACAGGTTTTTTAAGCTTTAAAAAATATATTTATAATACCTTTGCTAATATTTATAAATCTTAATATTAATAAAATAACATATACTCTTATTTACTAAGTGTTTTTAATAATTATATTCAAAATATTTTCAAAATAACTCAACGTCACAGCCGTCGGTCGGTACATTTGTCGGCAAGTATAAAGGGATAGGTTGCTTTGAGACGCCGCGCCAGTGCAGTTGTTTGATTTGCCGTGAACGTTTCTTTTGATTGTTTTAATTTAAATTATCCTTTGAAATGGTTGATCATAGCAATCAGATGACGTACAAGTTGTTGGAGCTTATGCAGAAGACCGGCTACTCCATAGCCCAGGAAAATGGTCAGCGAAAATTCGGGCCGCCCCCAGACTGGGTGGGACCTCCACCACAAAAGGGCTGCGAAGTGTTCATTGGGAAGCTACCACGAGAGGTATTTGAAGATGAACTTGTACCACTGTTTTCGCGAGCTGGTAAAATATATGAATTGCGTCTCATGATGGACTTTTCGGGGTCCAATCGTGGGTACGCTTTCGTTACATATACAACTCGAACAGAAGCTACGGCTGCTGTGAAACTATTGAACGGGTACGAGATTCGTCCAAGAAGACATATCGGTGTCGTCAAATCTGTAGACAACTGCCGCCTTTTCGTGGGCAATATACCGAAGACAAAAACGCAAGAAGAAGTTCTGGCGGAACTCTCTAAACAAGTTTCTGGCATCGTTGACGTTATTCTGTACCAGAATTGCTTTGATCGCAAGCTGAACAGAGGTTTTGCGTTTGTGGAATTCCTGTCTCACCGAGCGGCGGCCATGGCTCGACGGGCGCTCGTGCCGGGCTGCGTTAAGCTATGGGACCAGGAGGTGATGGTGGACTGGGCAGAACCGGAGCCAGACATAGATGACGAGCAAATGAGAACGGTGCGTATCTTATCTTTATAAAATAGCTAGCGTTCTTTGTTTACTTTTTTAAACTTTGATATCTAACAGTTTTTCCTTATCGAGCTTGCGCGCGATTTGTTTACAAACGTGTCGTTGTTTAAATTGGAGTGTTATGTTACAGTAAACTTTTATTTATATTCGATTGGACGGCTCTTAGAATCTCAATTTTACTAGGTAACTTTCTCTGAATTTCAGGTGAAAGTTTTGTATGTACGTAATTTTGAAATTCGTACAACACCCGACACAATACAAAAAGTTTTTGAGAACGCGATAAATAATAAAATCGAGCGTGTAAAGAAAATTTATGACTATGCTTTTATTCATTTTTACGAGAGAGAACACGCTGAAATAGCTATGGCGAAGTTACAAAACGCGGATATTGACGGTAGTAATATAGAGATACGCTGGGCGAAGCCTGTGGATCGCGATTTGTATCGCATACAGAAACTTAATAGAGGCAATGCGAAGTTTAACAATGGCTTTGATCTCACTCAAACATTGTTACTTTATAAACAGCACCTAGAGAAAAAAGAATACGCGAACAGCCCGAAGGATGAAGGTATTGGGTCTGCATATGCTGGTGAGAGCCCATGCTACTCTCCTTGTGACATGAAACCACTGGCTTGCACATACAGCTTGCAAGACAATTATACATTGGCTCCAGCTAAGCTTGAGTCAATGTGTAAAAGGTATGGGATTTTGTAAAATAAATTCGCATTGCTTTTTACTTTCTACAGAAAATTAATTGTTATTTCATTAACAGGTATATGTGGTCACAACCGATATATAACTATCAAAAAGTAGTGGATGCAACAAGAGAACTGTGGATATGTAGTGTGGAGTTGCCACAAATTGGTTTGCCGTTGCTAACAGTCCCTCAACGAATTGGGCCCCTTATCACAAGGCCTTGTTTCTCGACCCAGCAAGCTCATGTGGAAGCTGCTGAGATTGCTCTAAACACGTTAAAGGTACTAACTTACTTTTTAACCAGTCGTTTGACTTTATGTAATTAGTTTCACCAGATTTTTTGATTTCAGATGCTAAGAGTCGACCTGATTCAGCAATCTACTCCAGCTCCACCTTTTTACTCTTCACTATCTCCAATGCAGAATTATGTGAGACTACCTTATGATTATACAACAATGTATCAACCATCTCCACCTGTTATGCCAGTACAGACTGTATGGCGCACAATTTAAAATAATTTTATATTATTATAGTTGAAATCTATTCTATATTGTTGAAGCAATAAGAATAGATTTTATTTTTGCTTCTATAAACTTGGTGTTTAAATAACAACAGTTGCATACAATATTTTTTATTGTTGTGGTGTTGTTTCTAAGTACCATATAGTTAGTTACAAATGTTACTTTTTTTTAAACTTTTGCTGTTATCTAGTTTAATGACTTCATTTCTTTTCATTACTATGACCTTATTTTTGACTATAGGCTATTAGACTCAATCATTAAATCTTAGTGGTCAGTTATGTTTATGACAACTTTATTAATTAATATATTTTTCCTAGTAGATTTACTTCTAAATGTTGATTTTATTTATTTTTAAGACTTACTCATAGAACAGATTTACATAGGTAAATCTGCATTGTCAGTGCTTACTTGTGCTTATATTTTAATATAATCAGAGATAATGCACTGATAAATTCATATTTGTTTCTCTTTTCGACATAATTACTGTGACAATAAATATTAAACTGGTTATAAATTGTTTTATTTCCCTTTATAAGTAAATTTATACAATTAATTAAAATCGGGGGAATTTGCTAGTTCTGGACACTGGCAAATAGGTATACACGAATCATTACTACTTTTCCTCAGAAAACCTGGTTTACATCTACATCCGGGTTCGCATGGGGGGTCGCTAGCACACTTGAATTTTGCTACAAGTGAAAAACAGCTATCGGGTGGGCAGGTTTGTTTACATACTTGATATTCCTCATTAATACAGCAGTCAAAATAACCTGAAAGGAACAAATCTGTTAAAGTAATTCAGAGTTTCGTTTCGTGATTGTCAGATCGCAGATGACAGATACCTAGAGTTATTTTGTCTATGATTATAGTGTTTAGTATAAATAAGGGTTACATACTCTATCTTCTAATATTGGTGAATAATATTAATTATATACGTATATAGTAATCACATTTATTAATAAGATATTTTTTACTTAGGTATCTTAATGATTATAGATTACACCCTTAAAGCAGTTATTCTCAACCTGCGGCCCGTGTTATTGGCCCATCTGAAGTTACATCTCAGAGTTGGCTTTCGTTTTAAATTGTAATTACTCAGAGTTGTTTGATGACTTCATCGATTTTGTAAACTATAACAATCTAGAAGAGAAAAAAGGGAAAACAGAGTCCAAAGATGTGCCCAAATCCCACTAACATTCTTTGGGTCTATGTATGTGTGCGAATCGTCTTTTTCAAAAATGAAATACACAAAGAAAGTTTACAGAAACAAACTTATAGATTCTCATCTGGATGATGTTACAAAGATAGCATGTAGCGCCAAACTAGATCTTATTGCATTAAAACATATAAACAGATGTTCTTTACACACCTATTGATACATACTTGTAGATGAAGCGGTTGAATAGTGAGGTACCTAGTACACCTTTTTAGAATTTAAAAAAGAAGTACATTAACATAAACTATATAACAGCCATTTATTCACGCAAATATAGACTTATCTAAAATTACTGTATTTCAAATTAATATCTTTCATTTGTAAATCTATGTAGTAATAGTGTTGCTTTACATTTATATTTTTTTAAATAATAGTAAATTAAAATTATATATTATTCTCTTTAACTTTTCGTATTGATGCAAGATGACTATTAATAAAAGTCGATCTCAGAAGTAGGTCAGGTAGGCCAAGTAAAATTCAGTGTAACAGGGCACAGTTTTTATTATTTTATACAGAATCAAAGTAACGCCACAAACGACATTTCAAAAAGGAATGACGCATCACGCATTATTTTAAGTCATGAAAACAAAATACAACGCTGCCGGCTGCTCCCGTCCTTTTTCCACTCAAGATGACAACGTCAGAAAACTTAAAGAAGTATTTTATATCAGTATGACAACAGAAAGAATAAAATAATGAATCTACAATAATACATATAAGTCCTATTTTATATAATTAATAATTTATATTATTTTTAGTATAACACTATTTAATAAAAGTTTCTAAAAAAATTGTCGTAATTTTAATAATAAACGAAATTATTATTTATTATCCAAGATTTTTTTCGGTCCGGAGCGGTGCCTCTACGCGACGTGTTTTTTTAGAATTATTGATACATACTTAGGTATGTATTTGCAGACATTTGGTTATTCTTCCCCACTTTCACCCCCCACAACTTTTAAACGGCTCGACCGATTTTTATCAAACATGTCTAAGAACACTCGCACATAAGTCACCTTTAATACAAAAAAATAATAATATTGAAACCGCTTCATCCGTTCGGGAGCTATGATGCCACACAGACGGACACTTCAAACTTATAACACCCCTCTTTTTACGTCGGGGGTTAAAAATGTTATATTCAACGTTTGATATTACATTAGTACTAGTGACTCATCCTCACTTCGTTTGGGCTCATCCCTAGGTACTTTATAACCGTTAGTGTGGAATAGATAGACTACATTATACTATACATACATTACTGCCTCGGTGGTGTAGTGGCTAGCATGTACGGCTGCACACCCGGAGGTCCTGGGTTCGAGTCCCGGGTCGGGCCAAGTTTAGTTATTGAGTCTTCCTGTATAGTAAGTCTCAGTAACAGCCCGGAGTTGGGAAGTAGGCGGTGTTTCACCCCCGTGCCTCGGAGAGCACGTAAAGCTGTCGGTCCTGCGCCTTAACTCTCACCGGTCGTGTCGAGTGGTCGTCCCACCGGAGTATGAGAGTGATAGGAATAGAGAGTGCACTTGTGTCTGCGCGTACACTTGAGCACTATAATATCTCCTGCGCAGTTGGCTAATCTCATTGAGATTGGCCGCCGTGGCCGGAATCGGCTAGGAGAACATCATCATATATACATTATTATGTACAAAATTGTTTTTCACCATTTCTTCACTTTTTTCTTTTGGGAATAAATGACATCCATTTTCTTTGCGTCCTTTTAATTGCATTTTAAATAATATGAAAAAAAAACCATCCACGCTATAGAGCTCTTCAATTTATACTGAGGGCCAAAGTGATCACGACATCTGCCCCCCATAACCCATTCCAATATTGATAAAATGACCCAGAACTAAAAGTAAACGCCATCGTTAAGTTTATGTTATACAATCAATTTGACTGTATTAGAATTAGACGTTGTTCCACTCAAGAAAACAATGACAAAATTGATGAGAAATAGCATAAATAATCCTAACAGTAAAGTAAATTTTACATTAATTGGGAGTAATTAATAAATTTAACAATAAGAGGTATGCCTGCTTATTTTCTTCTGCGTAGTCATTGGGTTGTGGTTTATGTTAAAAATATATAGTACTTTTTTAAAACCTTTTTATTTTTTTTATTTACACAATACATTTATTTTAACTTGATCTAGAATGAGCATAGCTGAAAGCTCGTGCTCCATTTGATCCTGAAATTTAAAATATTAGTATTTGAGTCATTGGTATTATATTATGGTAACAATGAATTACTAAGTTACGAATAAAAATTTTAGGAAGTAAATATTTCTTAACCTGTATTGGTATAAGTGATGGTAGAAACAAAATCGCCACTTGCTCCTGCTCCTAAAAGTATTTAGTAAGTTATTTTTCTCAAAATTTTAAAAGATGGGAATGTAAAAGTGGTGATTCGCATTTATTGATGACACTGGCCAATTGGCACACAAATTTTATTTTTGTTTCGTGCATAATCATTTGCACAATAACACATATCGTTACATATAATATTTTTGATAGGACAATTTGTCTGGTTTTGTTTGTGAAGATCTGCACATACATTATCACAAGCACTGCCGCAGCTAAAATATTCATTTGGGCCAGAGCACCTATCTAAAATTCAGATACATAATAAATAAGACATTAATACATTTTGAAATTTTAATTGCACTTAAATATTTTGTTTACCTCTATGTTTAAATATTTAATTCCTTTTAATATTAATAAAATGTTTTGAAAAAACTTAAATATTTATACTATGTTTTCTTTTTAATATCTTACCACATATTTCATTTGATACACATTCTCCGTTAATATTTCGGTAAAAATTTGTGTTACAAACACATTTTAATTGGCATCTCTTATTATTTTGTAAACAATTATTTATAAATTGTATGTCTTTATTTTTACAAGTGTTTTCTGGAGGACAATCTTTTGTGCATTTCAAAGATTCATTACGTCCAGAACATTGTAAATCTAAAATAGGAATAATTTTAATAGTGGCTTAAGAGGTATCCTTGATAGTGTGTAATATATAATATGTGAAATAGATCGTTATTATGCAATCGGACATATTTTACAGTTATCAGAGCAGAACTATCGATATATGTATGGACCACTGTAAATACAGTGCATATATCTTTAACAATAATAAGTGTGGCAAGTACAAGTAGTAAACGTCAATACGGAGATATTATTGACATTTACGTAACATTCCTTTGCTTGTGACATTGACATTTGACATATGCAATTACCAAAAAAAGTACTAGGGTCTGGGACCGGTGTTATTTTTGATGGTTATATTTACTAATAGTGTTTAAAACTTATATTATTCGTGTTTTAAACTAAGTTATGACGTAAATATTTTATTAAAAAGGACCTACATAATGTGGCGAAGAAATATTTTACGATCTTTTGATTTAATAGAACCAATAAAGAATGGCAAGTCCATCATTTCTGTTTCTCAAAGTAGGAAATTTCAACTTTTATTAAGACACGCTCAGAAAGCCAGCTATGCGCCGAGTGTTAATAATACACATAAATTTGATAAAAAACATGGTTTTCAGCTATCTGTTTCATCCCAATCGAATTCGTTTACATATAGAACTCATACTTGTGGGGAACTAAGACCAGAACATGTAGGGCAAAAAGTAACATTATGTGGCTGGGTACAATATGTGAGACTGTCAAAATTTTTATTAATTAGAGACTCGTATGGCCTTATACAATGTGTTATTGATAATACAAGTGTAAATATTAATGAAATATCCTTAGAGACAATTGTAAAAATTAAAGGTACAATAGAAGCAAGACCAATAGATATGATTAATTCAGAAATGGCAACAGGACAAATTGAAATGGTTGTTGAAAATCTAGAAATATTGAACAGAGTTGAAAAGCTGCCATTTAATTTAAGAAATTATCAAAAACCAAAGGAACAATTAAGGATGCAACATCGGTACATAGACCTAAGGTTTCCAGAAATGCAAAAAAACTTAAGACAGAGATCCTTATGCTTACACAATATGCGAAGATTTCTTGTAGAAAAGCATAACTTTGTAGAAGTAGAAACACCAACTTTATTCTGTCGAACACCAGGGGGAGCCAGAGAATTTATTGTACCTACTCATTTTTCAGGGTTATTCTATTCTTTAGTGCAAAGCCCTCAACAATTTAAACAGATGCTAATGGTTGGTGGTATAGATAGATACTTTCAAGTGGCAAGATGCTATAGAGATGAAACAACAAGACCAGATAGACAGCCAGAGTTTACACAACTTGATATAGAATTATCATTCACAAACTTAGATGGTGTTCTTAATATGATTGAGAGCTTACTACAAGAAACATTAGAAGATATCCAAAAACTACCTTTTAAAAGAATGTCATATAAAGATGCTTTGGAAAACTATGGGTCAGATAAACCCAATCTTACTTATGAATTGAAATTGAAAAACATTAGTCATTTCTTTCCACAAATGGAATTAGGTTCAGCTGCTTTTGCATTACCATATTCTAGTTTAATTGGAAAGCTTACTGCTAAATATAAGGGAAAAATTAATGACCTAAGGAAAAAATATAATATAAGTGTAACTCTTAATGAGAACATATCAAAAAAATTTGGAATAGATGTAAGTAGGCAATTAAAAAGCTTACTTGGTGATGATAATGACATCATTATTACCTTAGGTAATCATGAGAATGCGAGCATGTGTTTAGGTGATATAAGAGAAATGTTAGCACCGTTACTAGAATCAAAAGAATTGTTAGTTATGAAAAAGTCTATGGAACCATTATGGGTCATTGATTTTCCATTATTTACACAAGGGGAGAATGGCCTAGAGACTTGCCATCATCCATTTACGGCTCCACATCCAGATGATCTGCATTTATTAGATTCAGAACCATTGAAAGTTCGGTCACTTGCTTATGATATAGTTGTAAATGGTAATGAGGTTGGTGGTGGATCTGTTAGAATACACAATTCACAATTACAAGAAAAAGTACTTAATATGTTAAATATAGATTCTAGTAAATTGGCACATTTTATAGATGCTTTAAAAAGTGGTTGTCCTCCACATGCAGGGATAGCATTAGGTATTGATAGATTAATGGCAATAGCTTGTAAAGCTGAATCAATTAGAGATGTTATGGCTTTTCCCAAAACACATGAAGGCAAAGATCCATTGTCAGGCGCACCCAATGAAATTAGTGATGACGACAAAAAATATTACCACATTAAAAGTATTGATAACAAATCTGTTTGATGATAAACATTATCAAATATGTGTATATAAACAATATGTATGTGATTTTTAAATTAAAATTGTGTTAGGCTATAAATGTACATACATTTTTTTTTATTTTGTAACCTTTATAAGCATCTTGACAATGTGAATAAAATCGTACTCGATTTTAACGTTGCAATAATTATTTTATTTCATATTTTACTAGCAACACACTCGCTTCGCTCGGGTTCATCCCTAGGTTCGTTTTAATGGTTGGTATGGAATAGATAGACTATATAGTATATATTATATGATGATGATATAGCCTTCCTCAATAAACGGACTATCTAATAGAAAAATAATTTTTCAAAACTGATTAGTAGTTTCTGAGATTAGCGCGTTCAAACAAACAAACTGCCTTTTTATAATATTATAAGTATAGATTTATATAAATCATATAATACTATACTACCTATATATTGTGTTATCGCAAATTATAAAAGCGTTAAATTGTTATTAAAATAAGGATTTTTTTTCGCATTTCCCATTCGTCCGTCACACAGGTAAAGTCCAGTTTTCAAGGTTATGGTAAATAATAATTTATTAAAGTTAATTTTAAAACCAGATTCTGCTGTACACAATTTCGAACTTTGAACTTTTTATATATTTTTATGTCATTATTAAGTTTAATTTTTAAATAATTATTTATTTGAAACAACACAGCAATACGTAAGCTGTATTAATTGTACCTACTTGCACTACTCTTTAATAATTAACTAAATTACTTATAACTTATAAGTACCATTATAAATTATTTATATTTAGCGTAGATCGATTTGTTAAAACACAATGTAACGAGAATATACGTATTTATTATTAATTCTCTTTATGTATGTACGTATAACTTTAATTATTTTAACTTCTAATTTTTACACGATTGCGGCGAAACCCGGGACGGTTATGTGTTTGACATGTATGGATGTTAATGTATGTATGTCCGACTCTGTGTTCCCTTATAATTACTAAACAGCTTAACCGATTTTAATGATTTTAATACGTCGTTAGATTCATCTTGATAACGCGAGTGTCATATAGATAATAGATATCATAAAAAATCGAAATGGCGGAACCTAGGCGCCAATATGTGTCTTGAAAAGATTTTTTTTTGTCCGAATCAATCGCATGGGGTATTAAAATACAGATTTTTAAAAGGCGATTACAAAAGTATATATAAAACCTGTTCTCATTTTTTAGATCACTTTTTATCGTTTTTTGTATACATATAATAAAATTGTAACTAAGCCGAATCTGTATATTAAATATTTTTTGGAAAATCTTATTGAAATAGGTATTATTATCGATACAGATGCCAAATCTATAGTTTTTAGAATTTTTGTCTGTCTGTCTGTTTGTTATCGCATCACGGAAAAACCACTGGAGGGATTTTGATGAAATTTGATATAATAATATCTGGTTATCCGGGTCAACATATAGGATACTTTTTACTGCGGGAAAAGATCTCTCTCTATTAATCTATGTAAAACCTAAGAATTTGGTTTTTGGTCATCTGAACGCGGGCGGAGCCGCGGGCAATGCTAGTTTAATATAAAAATTGCTTACCGGCAGATTTAGTTTCGCACAAATACAAAACAAAAGATGATAAAAATAAAACCAAAACCGCGTTCATGTTTACTATGAGGTACTCAACGAGTTTCTAAATGTGTTTGTTTTGATTCTATTTATATATTATTACTCGATCTACAGAGGAGGGGCAAGGGACTTTACTGCTAACTACTAAGTAATGAGCTAAGCTTTTATATAACTACGCATATATAAAGTAACTAGCGACTCAAGCTCGCTCCGCTCGGGTTCGTCCCTAGTTACGTTTTAACGTTTAGTATAGATTTCTCAGAGATGAGATATTTTCCCGTAGTAAAAATCTGTCTAGTGGTTTTCTCGTTATGCGGTTACAGACAGACAAGAATTTAATAAAAACTATAGTATCAATAATAATGACTACATATTTAATATAATAAGATTTTCCAAAAAATATTTAATGTACAGATTCGCCTCACTTAAAATTTTATTATATGTGTAGATTTATTTTAAAATTGTAAATAACAATCAATATAGTTATAGGAAATTGAACTTAATTTTTCTGTTTGAAAATTTGTGCATGTGTATTCACCCGATTGTGATGAAACTTTTTCGATTTTTGCACGACGATTTTGATTGTGCACGTCCGTGTATCTGATAGTAGCACTCTGATAGTAACGCTAGACAGAGGGTGCGCAAGTCGCGTTTAAATAATCTAAAACAAAAGTCTATTTACTAATAATTTATATGTATGTATGTACAGATTCTGGTTTTTGGCGTATGTAATTTTCATCGAAAGGTTTTATTTTAATTTGTAGCCTACTTTCTGAGTTAGATAAAAAAGCAATGCTTCATACATGGTACTTGATCGATTATATGTAAAGATACAAGTTGGGTTTTTAGTTGTTGCTCTAAATAATAGAACATGCTTTTGTGTTCATAGCAGAAGCTCCGAGTAAAAGTAAAAAATATATTTTAGTAATAATACACTGTATCATGTACCTACCTAAAATTGTGTGAGAGTTGCATTAAGTAATTAACTCACTTGCTTGCTAACTTGTAAACTAATTAACTGGCAAATTATATTATATGTATATTGTATATGTATATAATCGAATCTGGAAGTCGATGTTAACTTACTTTTAAAACATGTCTTGTCGATGCGACCCTTTGTATGTATGTGAATTTTGTATAATAATGAGTCGGCCATGACCGTCCGTCGTCAGTCTGACTGTCCGTTTGTCACAGCTGTTTTACGCAGACATTTACTATTTTAATAGTGAAATTTGAATGTAGGTGACTCTGGTGAATTTAAAAATAGGGGTGGCCCTTAATGATTGTAACTGAGAAGTGCAAGGGATAAAAACAATTAGAGCGCGTTTAAATTTGTAGAGTAGGTATACTTGTTTAATAAAAAACGAACTAAAAATATGGTCAATATCCTAAACATTGTTACCTCAGAAAAGTTTAAAAAAGTCAAGTGAATCAACATGACAAAAAATATATTAGTTCAATAAGTGCGAGAACGTTTTGTACTAGAAGTTGAGTAAGGTTATAGTGTATCGTACAAAATTGCAAGTTGAGCAGAGTAAATATAACCCTTATCTATAGTGATATTATAAAGAGGCAGAGTTTGTTTGTTTTTTTGTTTGTTTGTTTGTTTGTTTGTTTGTTTGTTTGTTTGTTTGTTTGTTTGTTGGTTTGTTTGTTTGAAGGCACTAATCTCAGAAACTACTAATCTGTTTTGAAAATTTTTTTTGCATTAGATAGCCCGTTTATTGAGGAAGGCCGAAGGCTATATATAGGTTAGATATCATGATGCTACTACAGAAGGTAACGAAGCAGTCATATAATATATTATATATACGAACGAAGCAAGGGTAAGCTGCTAGTTTTAATATAAAGGCATTTTGTATGTATGAAAGATTTTAATTATACATACTAGGTATATTATATTGATATAATGATAATACAGAAATAAACAATTTAATGCATGTTTCACTTTAAAACTCGTTACATAAATTGCTATTATAAATGTATTTTAGTTATATCTATCTATTCTAAGTCTATTCTAAGTGTATTTTAGTTACATCTATCTATTATAAATGTATTTTAGATATATCTGATAGAGCTTTGGGATTCCCCGATATTTATCAATGAGGAAACTTACTTGTGTGTGGGTGGCCTTTTATGGTTTTAGGCTTCATATCACAAATAAAATAGTACCTAATTATATTTTTTTGAAAATTGTATGTACGTATGGATTGTTTTATATTTTTAATATTTTTGATAACACCTAGATTCGAGAGTGTTGTTTCGCGTACAGACCATTCATCTTCACGTTTAAATGAATCGAACATGTGACCACAAGCTTAATAAAAGTGGACATTTAGTCTTACGCGCTGAATTTTATAATTTAAGATCTTTGCTATAGAAATAATAAATAGCTAACTTTTAGAGAAATGTTACAATATATTATAGGCGTTGTAATCGCAATACCTGTGATAATGTCTTTTTTTTAAACATCTTGAACATTTATTACATATCGGATAATATTGTGTGCCATTTATTTTATTATTTAACGAAATAAGTATTTGCTAAATATTAACCTACGATAAGTATGAAATATGTAATGAATTTATTTCAATAAATCCTTCTTATTTGATATACTTACTCGCAATCGAAACTCTTGAGATATGTTTATTACACCGTGCGTATGGCACACATATACCGTCTTTCCTCCAATAGTTCTTTTTGCATCTGCAATCCGGTTGACAAGGCACCACTATGCCGATGCGGCCTACTATAGGACATTTTCCGGTTGGGGTAGCTTGGCTGCAGTCATCCGTAGGACAGGCAGGAGGACAGGGGTTATATTCTTCGTGAGGCCCTCTGCATTGGAATGGAGCTTTATAAAATACAAATAAATATGTGCATAAATGTTTTTATTATCGATTAAAGCATTATACAAAAATTTTAATATGTATTTTTTTATTTGGAATTACTTACTACGTAGGTACACAAGTATCATCCGTTGGTCTAGTGGCGAAAGTGGTTGGTGGTGCGTTCGAGTCTCGGGTCGGGTCTAAATTATCTTATTGCGTAAGGAACTGAATAATTACTGGGGTATGCGAGAAAGTACTCAGTAGAAGCTAGAAGTTTGAAAGCTGTCGATGTGCCTTAGAGAGAATATTAAGCTGTCGGTCCTGTGCCTTATCTTTTACCGTCTTATCGGAATATAGTTACAAGAATAGAGAGTGTACTTGTGTATACATACACACACTATGAGCTATACAGTTGTGCACTAAAAATTCATATGCCCCGAGCATTTGGTTAGTCTCAGACTCTCAGTAAGGTTAGCCACCGTAATCAAAATGGGAGGACATTATTAACTAATAATATTATAAAATATAACATATAATGATATGACAATCAAAGAA